CAGCAGCAGCAGCAGCAGGTGGGGGAGGGGCGGCACCTGCGGCGGCCTCATCGCTCCTGGGGGGGGCGCGGCCGCCCCGCGCCTTTTATCCCCACCTGGCCACGCCCCCCGCACCTGGACACGCCCCCTCCCGCACCTGGCCACGCCCATTCCCGCTCCGGCCACGCCCATTCTATCATTGACCACGCCCACACGCGCGCTTGGCCACGCCCACTCCTATTTTAGCCACGCCTGTTTTTCTATTTGGCCACGCCCACCCCACACATGGATACGCCCATTCCCATTTTAGCCACGCCCATTTTCTCTCTGGCCACGCCCATTCCCGTTTTGGCCACGCCCACCTCGGTCATGGTCCCGCCCATTTTCTCTTTGGCCACGCCCACCCCACACATGGACACGCCCATTCCCATTTTGGCCACGCCCACCCCCGGTCATGGTCCCGCCCCTTTTCTCTTTGACCACGCCCACCCCACACATGGACACGCCCATTCCCGTTTTGGGTGGAAAAACGCCAAATTTGGGATTCCCGCCTGTTGGGGGAGGGGGAGGCAGGTGTCACCCGGGTTTCCCCCAGGTGTCCCCAAATGTCCCCAGGTGTGTCCAGGGGGGTTCCCAGGTGTCCCCAGGTGTGTCCAGATGTGTCCAGGTGTGTCCAGGGGGTTCCCAGGTGTCCCCAAATGTCCCCAGGTGTCCCCAGATGTGTCCGGGGGGGTTCCCAGGTGTCCCCAAATGTCCCCAGGTGTGTCCAGGTGTGTCCAGGGGGTTCCCAGGTGTCCCCCAGGTGTCCCCAGGTGTGTCCAGGGGGGCTCAGGTGTCCCCAGGTGTCCCCAGCGGGGTTCAGGTGTCCCCAGGTGTGTCCAGATGTGTCCAGGGGGGTTCCCAGGTGTCCCCAGGGGGGTTCCCAGGTGTCCCCAGATGTCCCCAGGTGTGTCCAGGGGAGTCTCAGGTGTCCCCAGATGTCCCCAGGTGTGTCCAGGGGGGTTCAGGTGTCCCCAGGTGTGTCCAGATGTGTCCGGGGGGGTTCCCAGGTGTCCCCAGGTGTGTCCAGGGGGGTTCCCAGGTGTCCCCAGGTGTGTCCAGGGGGTTCCCAGGTGTCCCCAAATGTCCCCA